AAAGAAGTTTCCATGCATGTCTGTGTCTGTGCATCCCAAGTATATGACTTCCTGCTCCTCAGGAGGGCAGTAAAAGCTGTCCCTCAGCAGCCATGAATTTACAGCCCTTATAAACACCGCTCCTCTCCCCCTCTGCTGCCTCCCTCATTCCCTCCCTCTCTCCGCTCCACCTTTTCTAATAGCACTATGCATATTTGAAACCTGGATTAAATCCAAAAGCAAACTTTAACTTTGTCTTCCCTCCCTTCCTCTGTCATTTCTTTTATCTCTCCTGAACACTCTTACCTTCTCTAACGCACGCTCGCTCCCTCAAACACTGGCATTGTTGGTGCTGCTTCAAGTTGACAAATGAGTCCAAGAAAATGGAGTTGTCTAATTGATGAACTTCTTAAATAAATAGCATCATTTAGAAAACCTCTAATGACAGCAGTTTTATAGCTGTGACAGACTCAGACATCCAAATCTTCAGCCAGACCACGTCTACACCTCTGTGACATTTTACATCCTTTAACCCAGATTAGACGCAGCTTTTTTTCTTGAGCTGAAAAGTCACACTAAATCAAAACCTTAACAAGCATATAGCAGCTTTTCCAGGCCAAGGTTATATTTAGCTTATTGCCAGGTCTCTGACTGCACTGACATATTGCTTTTAAAGTCGACAGGACTCAGAGTTAAAAGCACTGCTTTCTCACTTGGGTTGTGTCCTCTTTCTTATACCATGCGGCTGGGTTTCTGTTTTTTATTGAGCTGCTAAACCTATCCAAACTAAGAGGAACCAACAAAAACATAAAAGTGATCCAGTCAGCATCAAGGGAATTATGAAAAACAGTTAGGGCTCTTGTATGTTAGGTCTGGTTAGGTCCCTAAGGCCTGTGAAACTAATACATACTTGAAGAAGTGCAAAGCGCAGTGGCGAATCACAGCTGCAGCAAGCATGCAGTCGAGAATCAATACTCTCCAGACATTAGTATGCAGGGAGGAGTCAACGTTAAGTATGCAATAAAAGCTACCACTTCTTTATCGCCAATGAGGCAACCATGTAGTCCACTTTTGCAGAACTAGATTGACAGAATTGGGCTGCTGGATTTGCGAATTAGAATTCTGTGCTGACCACAGAGAGATCAGTTATGTGCTGTTGTCACTTTTATGGATAAATAATGATTTTGAAACCTGATTTTTGCAGATTAGATTTATAAAGGACTGTATCATGCAAAAATCTAGTAACATGCCTGACTGCACACAACTAGTCACAGACAAACTTTCTCAGGGTGGTGATGATAATGACACTTGAGTCTCGGTTAAAGAAGCTTCCAGTAAAACCAATAAAAATGTATTTGAATTATACACAATTTCGAATACAATTAAAGTTTTAGAAATAGGAAAAAAAAAAATTTTGACTTAAGTGATTTGAAGTCAGAGGTATTGCATAGGTCACTAGACACACTGAGCCTCTGCCTGAGTACAGAAAAGATCACAGTGATACTGATACCATGCTTGAAAGCCAAAATCCTTCAGTTGCACATAGAGTTGCAAATCTGAAACATTTCTCAGCAGCATTACCAATCAATAATCAATTAATTGTTGAAATAAATAAAAACCAGTGGGCAATAGTCCATATGCTAATAGAGCTGTCATTAATTAAGGACACGTGAAACCCATCACAACAGCTGCTCAGCTACAATCTGCTCACTGTTACAGGAATGTTGTCCTACTTGATAGCTCCTTGTCTAACCAATGTGAACTCTGGCTGGAACCAGTTAATCCCACAAAAGTCTTTGTCACGGTGGCCTGTAGCTAGCTAAACCCACACTGTGTTCTCTGCTTGGCAACATGGAGTGACCTCCTCTTCAGTCGTAAACAATAAGAGGCTCCACCTGGTGGTGCATTTTCTGACATACACATTATTTGTCTTCCGCCTTATCAATTAATGTATTATTAATCTGTCAAATTATCAATGACGATTAAACGAATAACAATTAATCACTGACATCTCTAGCTGCATGGCGTTTGAGGGTATTCTTGCATGTACTACCTATTTTAAATCCAACCACCACATTTTAATGGGATTCAAATTTGACTTTGACAAGGCCATTTGACAACCCTTCATTTCTTTTTGAGCCATTCATTGGGGGATTTTTTTAAACATGTTTAGAATTGTCCAATTGAAAGCACCACTTGTAGTTCATCTTCACTTTTCAGACAGATGGCCTCATATTATCTTCAAGCACTCTTTGATATAATGCAGAATTCATAGTTGAATCATTGACTGCAAGCTGCCCAATCCCCGAGGCAGCAAATCCAACTCCAAACCATAACATTTCCATCACTGTGCCACACAGCTGGTATGAGGATCTTCTCCTGAAAAGCTATCTTTGGTCTGCAACAAACATGTCTACTGGTACTGTAGCCAAACAACTCTATATTTAAATTTTGTGCACATCATATTATTAGCATTGCATGTTCATTGGCAAACTGTAGTTTTGCTCTGAAGTTCTTTTTGGTCCCCAAACTGCTTTATCTTGGCACACCTCCCATGCAGGTCACAGTTGCTCAATCTCTTTTTAATTATAAAAATGACAAACAATCGCCACTTGTGTGAGTATATCACCTTTATCTTTAAGCACTGTTTTATAGAGGATCAAATGTTTGCTGGTTGCAATATGTTTAAAAGTCATCTATTTTCATGGAATGTGCTTATTTTTTCACATCTGTACATGACCAGCGTCAGCATGTTGGTATTGTCATTGTGAACAAAGCCTGCATGAACAGCACTTGGATGTGCAGCAGTGTTGGGTGTTGTGGCCAAATCCTGTCATTACAACTTCTTGATTCACCATCCAATGGACACTAGTTTCTGAAGAATTGTTCCCATACAAACCATTTAAAAGGAACAACTATGAAACAGCAAGTACATTTTTTGGAGCATTAAAAATTACAGTAATTCTAAGTTTATTTTTTACAATTACATTTGGACAGTCCAGAAGAGCGGTATGATTATTTTATTAGTCCTCTTCATATGCATGTTGTGTCAACAAGAAGTCAGCCAGCATGCTTCCTTTCAAATGAATCAGGTGCCATCTTGTTGTCCGGTATCCATTTCTCCTTAATACATTGTTAACATGCTGGTGTGAACATTTACCTCAAATCCTTGCTAAGCCTAAATAGAGTCTCACAGTGTTGCTGACATGACTTTTAAGTGTGTTTGATAATGGTAAAAGCCTCTTTCACAAAGATAGATGTTACCTATTGTGTGGCTCAAAGTTATAGTCAAATTTGTTCCACAACGTTCTGTAGCTGCTGACTTTCCAAAGTAGAGCTAATTCACTAGTAATCGAAATCTGAAAACTCTAGAACTGTATCGGACTGTTTGAAGAATATCGTATGCCAATAAAAAAAAACTGCAACCGTGGTAAATTTTCAACAGGATACTACAGTCTTGAAAAACCTCCTCTTGTCATTGCTCCACAACATCATCAACAAACCAAAAAAAAAAAAAAAAACAGAAGATATAAGCCATATTGCCTTTTTATGGTCATAGTAAATGTGAGCTCGCTGCTGAATAAGATGGACATGCTAACCAATCTGCTGAGGGATTGAGAGGACTGTGAGTGTACTGATGTGTTGCACAGAGACATGGCTGCAGGAATGTACTGCGGGAACCCATTGTTACCATTGACGACTTTCAGACCAGTTGGGCAGACGGTAATGGATTTAAGAGTGGCAAGGACAGAGGCATGTGGCTTTTATTAACAACAAATGGTGCCATTGGTCACATTACCATGAAGGAACATTTCTGCAGCCCACATATTGAACTGTTAGCTGTGGGGTATGCACTGCATTATGTACTACAGAATGGGCTGGCTAAGCGAGACTAGCTGCAGGGCTGTGTCTACTCTACGTATGAGTCTTCACAAGCCATTTTAGTTGGTGTTTACATCCCTCCATCTGCGAACCTGGAAACCATGTGCGATGTCATCTACCTTGAAACACATTTTCGATTGGTCTAGCATTATAGATTTGTTGAAAATGACTTTGTAAAACCACTCCCAGAACCACGTGATACTAAGTAGTACTGTCTGTGTAGCAGAGCTCTGCTTATTTCTCAGTACCACAGAAACTATTAAAAACACATCAAGGAATCATGTTGTTGCACTGGGCTACATGTTGTCATTTTTTAATATATCTAAAAAAGTGGACAACATTATTTGGAGTCCTGTCCACATGTGGTGGACAGGACTGGTGCTGAAAATACTCACCTGAGCTCCAAATGTGTATTAACGCCCTGCTTAAAACAATAGAAGCTAAAGACATCGCCAAATCCACTAATCCTTCTGTTTGTAGTTAGCTGCCAGTATCATTACTGATCATTCTTCATAAAGGAAACTATACCTTTATAAATAAATTTTTGATATATAGAAGTAAAAAATTGTTAAGAGATAAACTAGAGCTGCATTCAAACCCTGAGCCCTCTGTGGAAAAAAGTGCATCCTGCTCATTCAACTCGGTGTTGTGTTGATCTAAAGGTTAGAGAGAAAAGACCAGAAGTCCACAGTCGCCACAGACCAGCAGGATAAAATCTGTGTCAGAAGGTGGAAAAGCAACACTTGCCACTCTCTCATCAGCACCACTGTGGTGCTCTTGAGCACAGCCATTCACCCCAACTGCTCTAGTGGAGCAGACTGTGGTTGTACTAGGCGCTATGTGAATGTGATCAGGGAATTCCCATCAAACAGAGCTTACCTCTCAGTGAAACTACCAAGAATAAACAAAGGTTTGAAATAAATGGCACCAGTCTTCTGGTGACAAAATTCAAAAAATGAGAACCTGCCACAACTTTTGCTGCAATGCAACGTAACATCATCTTGCACCGTGTCAGCCAGTTAAGTAGCTTACGTTTTGGTAGAATACTTTGTAACATGAACAGAGTATATCTGCTGTTTACCTCATGATTATCATGGCCGACAACTTTCCAGACATTTAAATCTAAATCATTGCTAAACAATTGTACTTTGGTGTCTGATAAACCTTAAAACACACAATTCTGTTCCTGTGACTGTACAGCCTGGACTGTATCTGACTGTCTCACTACTGCCTCTAACAACACTTCACCCTAATGTAGTTTACTCTGTTGTTTTAACGCAGGACTTGATCTGAGTCCTCCATTTGTTAGGTGTTTTTTTTTTTTTTTAAATGGGATTTATTCTCAGTAAAACTATCAAATAACACCTGACCTAAACTTTGTAAATCTATACCTTCATACTGTGTAAATCTGTAAAAATGTGAATCACCTTTCATGTTGGCGCTGTGCACATCTGCATGCATTACAAACACTATCTGCAGATGTTTGAAATGATTTGGCTGTGGTATTATATAGGGTTCTGAATTTAGCAATCATGGGAAATCTTACCGCCCCCCCTTACGTCTGCGGCATGTGTAGATTAGCCTGTATGCATGTTAAATCAACATGTGCATTCTAATCGACTGTGACTCTGTCGTGCATTTGTGTGTGTACTGAATGTGTGTCTTTTGTGTTTTCACAGCGTACTGTGGGAGCCCATGGGTGATGGCAAGCGTGTGATTTCATTGGCTGATAACAATGCACTACTCTGGGACCTGCAGGAGAGCTCCACACAGGCCACGGTAAGACTCACACCAACTGTAAACCTCAGTGCACACGCACACATTCACACCATATCACACAATAGCTAACTCATTATTTGATAACCACCATATCGTTGTGGTGTTATCAGTTGCGCACATCCTCTCTCTGTGACAACAGCGGAGTGTCCACTATTCATTCTGTCTCATACTCTTACACACACACACACACGCACACACACACACACGCACACACACGCACGCACGCACGCACACACACACGCACACACAGAGTATCTGGGCAGGTCTAAGCTGTTGCTCCCTTAATATTATTCTGGTCAAGTCTCTCCCACTGTGATAGTAATAGTCTTGTTTAATAAGTAAGAGAGAAATCATTCTAGCTCTATTCACAGTTCAGTAAAATAATGCAGCAGAAACTTGTATTTCACTTTAAACACACACTAGCTGCACGACGTGTCCAGATGTATGTGACCAGTGGAACATTGTACCCAAATGTTACAAGTGAAGGGCTCAAAAATGGGGGTGATACATGTGTACTTTCTAACTCCCAACTGTGTGTGGTGCCATTAGTGTTTTTGCAGGACTTAATGTTGCTGAACAACTTTTGTACAGCTTTGTTTTAAATACAAGAAAGTGCCGGATGCTATTAATATCAAGTTGAAAGACAGCTGTGTTGTTGTCTATAAATGTTTGAAACAAAGCTTCCTTCTCAGCTTCTTGATGACAATAGTTTTTCCTTACACATGGACAGGTGACTGTTGGTTCTAGCTGGCCTCTGTGTTTTCCCCAGGTGGTTTGATCTTCCCACAATTAAATGATCAACTATGATGTTGACATGTAAAGTGCTCCGCTCATAGAAAATGGCTTTTAGAAACAGCTCATGTTGATAAAACCACTGGGTTTCAATTTGGGAAAATCTGACTAGAACACCTTATTTCACTCTGTTAAAGTCATTTTTGGTTACATGTCTGTCTGAGCTGCTGTGCTACAGTAAGTTAGTGGGGTTAGTGTGAGGCCTTTATGGTGCATCTGCAAACTAAAGGGTCTTTTTAGCAAATCAGGACTTTTGTATACCAATTTGTGTGTGTGTGTAGGGAATGCACTGAGGGGCTGCATGGTGGAGCAGTGATTAGCACTGTCGCCTCACAGCTAGAAGGTCGCCGGTTCGCGTCCCGGTGAGGAAGTCTGGGATCTTTCTGCGTGGAGTCTGCATGTTCTCCCCCTGCAGCGTAGGTTCTCTCCCCTTCCTACACAGTCCAAAAACATGTTGAGGTTAACTGGTGATTCTAAATTGTCCGTAGGTGTGAATGTGAGTGTGCTTGGTTGTCTGTCTCTAAGTGTAGCCCTGTAATAGACTGGTGACCTGTCCAGGGTTAAGCAGTGTATAGATGATACATGGATGGATGGATGGAATGTGCAGAATTCAAGTAACACATTTTTTCAGTGCACATTAATGCATTATCATGGATGAGGTGCAGCATGGAAGTAAAAGCACTACTCTTGTTTATTTAAATGTGAAAATGAAATAAAAATATTTGACAGACAATGTTGTCTGTCAAAGTTGTCCCCAGCCTGCAGAAATACACATTAATGGCTTTTAATACACTGAAAAGAAAGGATTCACTCTGTATCTGAATTGTGTATTAATACTTGTGGTCAATTCGCTTGTTGTTGTGTCCTTCCTAATGCAAGGTGAAGAGGCTCTTCACTGTAAATTCTGTCTCCAACCTGCCAGCTTTGCACTTAAAATACCCATTATGTATTTAAAGCCTCTAAATAATGGTGTGTGCCAGGGGTGCATGCATGTGTGGAAGAAGTAATCGAGTAGTGGTGTTCCAGCCCAGGCTTTCATGGATGTGTGTGTGCTGTGCCAAAAGAGGCCGTGAGTGATGAAGAATATAGATGAGTCATTAACGATTCATGCACTCGTTGAGGGATTCACATAAAGGGCAGCCAGGTCACAAACCTAATAGATGAAAGTGTGTGTATGGCTGTGTGTGAGCGCATGTGTGATCATTTGATCTTGGTAATCTGGACCTTCACTAGTTGCAGTTTGGATAAGCGCATGCACATATCTTGCCTTGCTGCCCGTGCTGGGGCTTTTGTCAATCAATTGAATAACGGTTATTTTTCATTTACATTCAGTTTTGGGTCGTTTCTGTGAAACACAACAGAAAGTGTTGTGATTTTAGGCCAGTAGATTGAACTGCTTGAAGCACATATGAAGGTAAAACAGAGTGTGTATGTATACATATATATAAATCTGAATTATTTAATCAGAAGTATTTAATTGATTGCTCATTGATTCATATACAGTCAGATGACTAATTTGAGAAAAATAACAACATAAAGTGTCTCAGTAAGTTGTTGGGCCACTGCGAGAACAGCTTCGATGCTCCTTGGCATTGAAACCTCAGAACTCAGGAGGGATGAGCATCATTCTTTGAAAAGATCTTTCCTCATTTGCTGTTTTGAAGACAGTGCTGAAGAGTGCTGTCTAACACAGCCGTCCATAATCTCCCATAGGTGTTCTACTGCATTGAGATCAAGTTACTGTGAAGGCCATAGCATATGATTGCATCATTTTCATACTCATTAAAGCATTCAGTGACCCCTCGGGTTGTGTGGATGTCCAATTAGGATAGAAATAGGATACAAGTGATCACTCAGAGCAACTTTGTAGTTATTTATTTTTATACATACTATCTAAATCCTGCAAGAGAAATAGTCTTTTACAAATCCCAGAGCATAGGGTCAGTCATATTACGGTGCCCCTGAAACACTACCAGAGGCAGACAGAAACAAGGGCCTTGCTCAAGGGCTCAGCCGTCGCAGCTTCGTCATGCTGGACCTTGAACTCCTGACGTTCTCATCAGTCGTCCAGAGCCTTGACTGCTGAGCCACCACTACCTTTAAAAAGGGGAGCTTTCCCTCTAAGTACAGTAGGGGAACAGTAGGGGTCAAGCATACAGGCCTTTACATATTGCATTGTATAGCACCTGCACTTGCCTGCTTGTCGAGAAATTGGTGGATGACTCATGTGACCATATCACCTTTTTCCACATCTCTGTAGCCCAGTGCCGATGGCTTTTGCAGTCGTAGTGCACGTCTGTGGAAGCCTCTGAATTTGTTGTGTTTTTCCACTCATTTATTCCCTTTAATTTGTATCCAATGTGTATGTGTTTCCTGAAAGTGTGTGTAACTGTGCTATCCAACATTACTTTGATAGATTAAATAATAACCACCATATTAGCAACAAAAGTTAAAATAGTGCAAAACTTGTCCTAACTCCACACTTCACCCCAACAAAAATAAACCGACAAAGCAACAGGTCTTAAATTCTGTTGGCATGGCTACATGAGCATGTAAAGGCTGGTTGCTACAAGCCTTTTAAAAAGACACTGAAATAAGGTGAAGTTATGGAACTGATTTATAGCGCACATGGTAAATTTTGCATTCAGCTAATAAAACGTCTATAGTACTAATTCTTTCAGCATAGCAACAATCATGTCAAATGCACCCATCTCCAGATTGAAGCTCAACCTAATATCCACCTTTCTTTACCAACATTTTAACGAGTGGACGCTTTTGCAACCCGTTTATCTCGCTGTGGAACAATCCAGATGCAGAACGTGTCTATTCTGTGACTGTGTGATGTAGATCCTTTGCAGTCGTGCAGAAGTTTCTCTCACGTTAAGAGGTTTTATGTTGTGCTCATGTATTGTACCTCAGATTGCGCCACCCAGAGCAATTTGTGTTACGTCTTTTCATTGATTTTACTGCACCACTTGTAAAATGTGATATGCGTTTAGTCAGAATGCACTGAATCATGACAAACAAACACAACATCCTTCATTCAACTGTACTGCCAACTGCAGTGCATGGGACTTTAAAACATGTTTACTTGTTCTGTTTGTGATCAATGATTGATTGTGTGTGTGTGTGTGTGTGTGTGGGTGTGTGTGTGAGCGTTCTGCGCTGAGACCCCAGTGTGAGGGCGAGTAGACCACAGAGGTTTGTGGGGTGTTGATCTAATTCTCTGACACAAACACTGGACAACGCAGCTATTAAATCTTGCATCGAGGGAGAAGGAGGGAGGTGGGAAGTAATGCACAGGAATAATGAGAAAGGGTAAGATGGAGGTACGATAAAGAAAGAAGGTGCGATGAAGGGCCATGCTGATTGGAAAGATGAAGATTAGGAGGGAGAAAGAGTGAATATGGAAAAGAAAAAAAGAGAGTGGGCTTGATGAGGAGAAAGGGAATGAAAAAGAGGAGAAAGAGCTTGGCAGCCAAGACAAATTCCTCCAGTGCTGATGAGAATGCTAATCTCCTTCCTTCCCTCCCCCCCCCCTCCCTCTTTCATCCCACTCTCCTCTCCCGTTCTCTCTGTCTGTCAGTGGGTGATGTGTTCATCTCAAGCCATGTCCAGCTGCAGCGTGGATGTGTCTCTCTCTCAAGGGCCTGGCCTAGATTAGTGAGTGTGTGAGTTCGGTGTGGGTGTGTGTATGCATATATAAGAGAGGATTGTGTGCATAAGTGTACCAGTGTGCATTGTCTGAAAGAAGATTTGTGTGTTTATGTATGTGTGTGTGTGTGTGTGTGTGTGTCTACATGTGCATGGCTCATCAATTAGACTCGCTGGTGGAATTGAGTGAGAACATCTCCACTGGCTCAACGCACACCCACACACCTTGTCCTGCACATCTGCTCACACACACACACACACACACACACACACACACAAACACACTCTTTTCCGGAGTCTAGAGAAAGCATAAATGCATGGTGATTTGACAGATAGCTTTGCATTAGTGCCACTTGCGTCCTAAATGAATGCATCCCCCAGTGTTGTGTGTACTGCCTTGTTAGGGCCCCTAATTTGGTTAGTGCACTAATAAAGCTGGGAACCTGGGATGCACGAAGCTTGGGCTATGCTGTTGCGCACTAGTGTAGTAGCAAGAGTCCTGCTGCAGTCTTTCCACTGATCATGGAGTTTACAGAGCTTCTGTTGTGTCAGGAGAATGTCAAGGCACTGTGTCAGTTCTTTGAAGATTTCAGGGACCATCTGCAAATTTGGGACATGAGCTGCCTTGGAGGAAGATAGCTGAGTATGTTGCACAGGTTGTTTCATACTTGTTTAAAGATTCTTTTTCAAAAGATAGTTTCTGCAATAAGTCCTGAACTTTCTTCAGATTAGTTTGTCTGTATCCTCTGAATACTACATGTAGGAGCCTTTCCTGAATCAGTGCCCCTTACTATAGTAGTAAATATAGATGTCAGAATATGATAAATGTTGATTCAAACTGTTACTGTTTGTTTGTTTTTCTCTCCACTAAAATAACTAATTGATTAACCCAACAAGTGCTCTAGTCTCAATGGCTACACAGGCAATTTGTCCCTACCCTCAGAGTACGAGAGTAGGGAGCATAGTGTAGTACACTTATGTGTCACCTCAGTTTAGTCATGTGTAGGCACCAAAACAACTTAGTAAGTTAATGGAACAATCAAGGTTTGGGTTAAAATAGAGGACTTTTGTTGTTGTCGTTATACGCATAAACACATGGTTACGGATATAAAAATGGCCATGGCGAAAGGAAACGTTGGGATTTGGTTGGAATCGAGTTTTGTTTTTGTTTTGTCAACCTGTCCATAAGCCCTGACCTCCTCCCAATATTCACTTTGTTGCAGATCAGTTCCCCCTTTGTGTCAGTCATAATTGCTTTTATCACTAGGGGGCACTGTCACAATGAAATATGTCATAAACCACCTATGGGGTTGTTGTGTGTTGCGTTTTCCCTGAAGAATCCCAGTCAAAATGAAAACCTGACTGTGCCTGTTGAGGAAAGTGTTTAACACATAAAGACATTTTAGAAAATTAATGTTGGAATCCTTATGTTGATTTTTTTCTTCAATCACTTTATAAATATACTAAATGTATGTTAAAATATATGTTTTTCGAATTAAAAAAAAAAACCCTGTTGTTTCCCTTCCTGTAAAACGATTTAAAACTCCGTTCTACACTGAAGGATGTAAACATAAATATGTCTAATCTAATGTGATTTGGTCTGACCACTGTAGAATGCCATAAAACTCCAGTTAACCTTGTTTGCTCAGGGATCAGAGTAGTTAACTTAAGTTGCCCTTTATTGATCTCCACAGGGATTGTTCTCTTCATTGAAGCCTTCTAAGAACTGGATGCTACTCTGCAACGCTCAGTGACTAACATCAGCTCTAAACCAATGCCTAGATCAAGGGCTTTTTGTGGAAATAACCTAGACTGGAGATACTAGTGTCGCCTAACACAGCCTGTGCAAGCACGAAGAGAACATAGAGTCTCAGTCCCTGAAACTTCTTGCTGTAAGGCAACAGTGCTAACCAGTGGGTCATTGTGCTGTTGAGTAAAAGCATCTCTTGGAAACTTCTCTATGAAAACTTTACCAAAGCATAAGGTTGACAAGAGGGCTGCAAGGTGGTGCAGTTGGTAGCACTGTTGCCTCGCAGCAAGAAGGTCGCCGGTTCGCGTCCCGGTGAGGACACCCAGAATCTTTCTGCGTGGAGTTTGCATGTTCTCCCCGTGCAGCGTGGATTCTCCGCGGGTTCTCCGGCTTCCTCCCACAACTCCAAAAACATGTTGAAGTTAATTGGTGATTCTAAATTGTCCGTAGGTGTGAATGTGAGTGTACTTGGTTGTCTGTCTCTAAGTGTAGCCCTGTGACAGACTGGTGACCTGTCCAGGGTGTCCCCTGCCTTCACCCTAAGTCGGCTGGGATAGACTCCAGCCCCCTCGCGACCCTAGTGAGAATTAAGTGGTGTATAGAAAATGGATGGATGGAAGATTGACAAGAGGTGGTCACATCAGCAACATTTTTACAATCTTGTTTATATATTTGTGAACCAGAAATGAATGAGGACTCACCAAACATTAATTCCAATGTGTTCCAGTTTGCATAAACTGTTAAAACCTGTTTATCACTGAAGCATAGATATATTATAGAATCATCTTCATGTAGATAAAATACAGCCAGACTTTGTTGTGGCACTTAAAAGTTCACTGTGAGCAAATAAATGTTTAACAATTCTGAAATATACGAAAGCTTAATGTAATGTTGATCGTCACTCACTTCAGTAAAGATATCCGTACCAATTTGAAATATCAGTTCGTAAATGCTACACCAGATAGAATGAAATCATCCCAGTCCAACAGTAGAAGGTTTGGGTAGCTATCATGTATAGTAAAAAGCAGAGTTAAAAGCTCTCAACATGCCGTTCATGTAAAAGGTTTTAATTTGTCTGTTTTACCCTGGTCAATAACTGATTGTGCACTCAGTAACTCTAACCCTAGGTATATAATATAAATTATCATTTTGATAAACCAAGAAGCAGATGTTCTTATTTTATGGAGGCATTTTTTATTTAAAAATGGACATTCATTAAATAGCAATAGAATTTTACATCAAGGCCACCGTGGAAACCCTGCTTCTCTCCTTGTCTGATTTTATCTTCCACCCCTCCTTTGCCACTTTTCTTTATCTCCTTTTCTTTGGACTCCCTTCCTTTCTTCTCCTCTTCTCCCCACTTTGTTCTCCTTCCTTTAATCCTCTCTGCTTTTCTTTCTCAGTATTCCTCCCTGCCTCCCTCCTGCTCCGTCGGTTTCTCTCTCTCTCTCTCCCTCGCTCTCCCTCTGTCCTCCCTAGCTGAAATAATGAGAGTGTACCAGGGAGCTGTGTGGTGACGGGGCGATCGATGATCCCTGCTCCAACAGGCAGAGACGGCAGGGAGAGGGGGAGAGAAAGAGAAATGGGAGAAGGAGAGAGATGAGGATAAAAACCTGCAGATAGTCGGGGAGCAGAGAAAAATGGAGCAGTGTGATGCTGCTTTTTAGAATTGTTAGATGCATCATAGTTTAAGGGAAAGACAATCATTTCCAAAGTGTGCCTGCTGAATTAATTGGATTCCATTTTTAAAGAAGCCTGATGAAGTGATATGCTTTATAATTCAAAGTCCTTGAAGCATTTTGACTTTGATTAATTTCACCTTCATTGTTGCCCTGTGAAATATATGTAGCAGGTTTGATAAATATCTAATGACAAGCATGCCGTCTTGCTTGAAAAGCCTTAAATGTTGCAATTTAACCTGGCTGCCTTTCAGCTAAACTCCACTAATTTTTGAATCCAATGACATTTTGTCAGTTAAATGTATTTCTGTTGAAAGATGTTACAATACATTTAAATGAATTTCAACAAGCTTTGATTTAGTTTGTAACTCTAATCAGTCCTAAATGTTCACATTCTCAACTTGACAGCTGATCCATAAATAGCTGAGCGATCCGCCAAGGGACCAAGCTGCATTAATTGATCCTGTGGTCACTTGGGGGCAGCATAACAAGCTGAAAACACGACATCTGACATACCTTTACAAGAATCTTATGGCCAACATGTTTTAAACTTATCTATTTACAAATGTAGAGCAACCGGAGTCCCGTTTCTGGTCACCTAATGAATTCACTCTTTACCTTTGATCTGCTGTCCAACAACTCCTGAAGTAAATGTCTGGCTCTTTAGCGCCACAGTGCTCCACTAAGTTCGCTTCCACTGATACAAAAACCTCTGAATTGCAACCATGTCTCAGATTTACTTCATAAGTCGTGGACTTCTGTTGTACCCATTTGCAGCTCTTTGTGTAGTTTAGTGAGCAGGAATGTCATCACCATCATGTTGTACCTAGCCAGTTACCTGGAAACATGAATGAAAAACAGAAAAATGCAACGTGTGGATGATTTCATAATCTGTGTATAAAAGATGGATCTAGACATTAGCCTGTGTACTACCACTATGAAGTCGGAAGTTGACCATTTGCCATTTTGCCATTGCCATCGTACTCTTTTGAAATCAGATGTAGTCAGTGAGGAACGGATCTTAACAAGAACACGCCAACACCATGTACAGCAATACAAAATAGCAACCTGTTAATCACAAGGCAACCCTGCCCTAAGCCATTCACTACTTTATAGTTGATTTTACTCTAAACAAAACCAAATTTTACAATATGAACACCATGCTGTATTCAAAGTGTCTTACAACTAGCGATTGAAACCATAAACTCATTAGAAAAATACTTGCTGAAGTAATAGATCAAGTCAGAAGTTGGGCCATTTTCTCACTGACTTCTATACAGTTAGACTAGTAAACAAAAAACAAACTGAAAGAGATCAAAGGCTCTCTATAGCAGAAGAGAACTGCAGAGTTTGGGTGGGTTTGTCATAAGTAGCCCCTTTAACGCCACACATTATTATACGATCTGTTGTTATTCTAAAAATATAGAGCGTGTTGCTTTAAATGAGTAACATAGAGCCTTTAAAGTAAGCCACACTATATTGGAGCTTCACATTAATGAGTAAAGTATGTAGGGATGAGATATGTTTGCAACAGTGTGCATGTTTCCCCACAGTGTAAATCTGCAGGCAGTTGGTGTGCCATTAATGGCCAAAATATTACTACAGAGTCATAGTGACTGATTGTAGTCTTGAGTGAGGCCTGCGGAGAAAATGACTTCTAATAATGTCTCATTATGCTGATTGAATGCACTGTACTGGCTGAACCTGTCACAGATATTTGGATGAAATTCAGGTCCACGCTCAGAGATGTTAATGAAGGTGTTGCTGTCCCCTGCAGGTCTCCAGCACCGCCACCCTTGAGGGTAAGGGTCAACTGAAGTTCACCTCTGGCAAGTGGAGCCCCCACCACAACTGCAGCCAGCTCGCCACAGCGAATGACACTTGCATCCGAGGCTGGGACCTTCGTACTATGAGGTGAGCTCCATCACCAGGGGCTTGTCTGGAAATACAATATTCCACACATTCTACATTCCCATTCTGTTTTCTTTTTTATTGTATGTCTGAGCCTTTTCTGCCAATCCTGATATTGATACATTAGCTGTCCATTATTTAGGGGAAGGCAGGTTGTTCTTTGATTTGATTGTATAAAAACCTCTCCTCCTATTTCCCTCCATTGATCATTTCTCTGGAAATTTGAAGAAGTACAGATGTCCCAGTTGACAGAACCACATCTATTCAATAATATTGTGGCTGCCATTAAGCTAATGCCAGGAACAAGAATTTTAAAGCTTTGGTGTCACTGATAGCTAAAAATCGAAGGCCTAACATGAGACATGTTTTTGTAAGCTTTGCCAATCCGTATTAAGACTTTTTTTTTACATAGCAAATTTCCACGTGCACCTGACTTAAAACCAGTTGGATGTTTGAGCAGCCTGCACTTAAATCTGACAGAAGAGAGTCATGGAGGAGTCATGGAAGTTAACCTGTCAGAGCTTAACCATTTCAGTGGGTGTTTACATGTCATTACAAGACATTTCAATATAGCACACAGAAATATGTATTTAATTTGACTCATTATGCTGAGTGAAAATATTAGAGTTTTGTCACAACCTTAATTCATCAGTACATGTATTATGTTTAAAACTGTATTTCTACTCTGCCACTACAAATCTTTATCTTTGTCATAATGCAGCAGGTGCTGCAAGATGTGAACTTTGTCTTTGTCAGACTTCTTTGGTTGAATTTCTAATATCCATATTGATTTAAGTGTCTTTGCTGATTAGTTAGGCAAGGTAGCTTACACAACAAACCCCAATTAACAACCCAGAACCAAACAACCCCTGACCCTCAAAACTGGTAGCCTAATAAACGTTCTCATATTTTGTCAGTAGAAAAGTGCAACTTCATTTGCAGAGGTACATTTTCATATATTTTCTATTCATTATATGTAAAGTTAAACATTTTAAGTCATTTTTTTGTTTGATTTTTTATGAGTTTTTCTTATTATTTATGAAATTCAGAAATCCAGTATGTCACAATGCAGAAACGTCCAACTGCTGAATAGTAGGTTCATTTATACACTTAACACACCCTTACCACGTATTACTACATCGATGCGGCGTGGCATGGAGGACATCAAAATGTGGCACTACTGAGGCGTTATTGAAGCCCAGGTTGCTTTGATAGCAGCCTTCAGCTGGTCTGTATTTTTAGGTCAGGTGACTCATCATCCTCACAACATTACCCCATAGACTCTCTTTGGGCCTCAGGTCAGGTGAATCAGCTGGCCAATCAGGAACAATAATATGATCGTCAGCAAACTATTTAATAGTAGCTTCGGCGCTGTGAAAAGCTCCTGCTGGAAAAGGAAATCAGCATCTCCATAAAGCTTGTCAGCACATGGAAGCATCAAGTTCTCTAAAATCTCCTGGTAGATGCTACATTGGCTTAAGACCTTGTTAAACACAGCAGACCAACACCACTGCACCACAAATACTTTATACTGGGCTTTAAACATCTTGGATTCTGTGTTTCTCCACTCTTCCTCCAGACTCTAGGACTTTGATTTTTCAAATAAAATGCAAAATTTACTTTCATCTGAAACAAGGACTTTGGACCACTGAGCAACAGTCCAGTTCTTTTTCTCCTCGGCCCAGTTAAGAGCTTCTGATGTTGTCTCTGGTTCAGGAGTGACTTGATGTTAGGAATGAGACAGTTGTAGCTCCTTTCCTCAACACGTCTAACTATAACTGCTCTATGAATGAAAGTGAATGATGTTTGCAAACATCTGGAGGCCTGTTAGGCATAAGGTGCACGAACACTGGCTTGTTCAGTTGTCCAGTAGTCACCCTCTACATAGCGCAAATAGGCCACCTTCACTTGGACAGGATTAAATCAATCACAATATCTAATGTTGATAACAGTCTATGACCTGCAATGAACAGTCTTGATACTTGACTTTGGCCCTCTGTCTTGGAACATTAGTTCAAGTTTTGAAAGATGATATAGATTGTGTGGTCCAGTTCTGTATTTATTGATATTTCCTCATTTAAATGATAATTTATGGACATCTAGACTTTTATTTAAGTACTTCTGCATCTGTACTGTGGTAATTAAACACTGGTGCATATTGTTACACAGAAAAAGAGTTGATAACATATTTATATTCCTCATTGTAAGATATTAAAACTTGAAACAAATGATATTTAGCCCTAATCATGGCTAACAGTGTTGTAATCAAATCATATCTCAAGCTCACTGATAAAACCTATATTTGCTACATTTTCTTCATATCTTTCTCTTACAATACAATCAGAACTGCATTTTTGTCAAAAAATACTGCCCAGGAAAATATGAAATGTGCATTTTGGACTGTCAAAGGCAGTCGTATTAGTAAACTGACTCGCAGAAGGACGCTTTTACCATATCCTCTTGTCTTTTTACGACATATTTTGTTTGCAGTCCTGCAGTTGTTGATGAAGAGCGTTCTTCTACTCAGCACATGATGAAGTGCAAGGCGGCAGAACACTAATGTTCCTGCTTGACATGGAGCATGTGTACTACCACACATTAACCTTGTAACTGCAGGTTATCAGCAACCCACCTTACAACCTCTAGCAGTGTGTGTCTGTGTGTGTGTGTGTGTGCGCGTGCATGGATTGCATCGTGTCTATTTTGTTTGCGTATCCTGTGTTTCTGAGGCACTTGATGAGTGAGGTCAGCATGTGTGTACGTGTGGGCTGTGCTAGAGGAATAATAATCACCCCGCGATCGATCGCCATGATAACAGCAAAGTGCTGAAGAGATTGAGAGAGGTGCTAGGTGAAGGAGAGAGAGAGGGGGAGAGTGAAAATGTATTTACAAGATGCCTATCACAGGGCCAGATAAGATAGTTGAATCATTGATATCATTCCCCGTCAGCCCCATAACAAATTAAAGAGTTCCTGCACGCCCCGTTTTGGCCGTTCTCCTCCCGCTGTGCTATTTTGAAAGATGCAACAGTGCTGATGTAGCCGACGGCACAAAGGGAAGGAGGGGGCGGCAGTACGGGGCTTGTTAGCAGAGACCACAGTCTCATCTCTAATATCACAGTGAACTGAAAACACACCGTTATGATCTGAAGAGGAAGCTGCAGCCAGTAGAGGGAGCACCGTGCTGTGGTTTTTAACAAAAATATCAAAATTGTCAAATATGTTCCCTTGAGTTCCTTTAAGGTTGGAAAAAAAATCTTTTTTTATCCAAACCAACTAACATTATCACGTATGTATTCTTTTTAAGCCTGTTCCAGCCCTTTATTGACATAATACAATATTTATGTTAGAATATCAAACCTAAAACTACTAAGTTTTGCTCCATTCCACCTAAATGAAATATTTTAGATGTGTTGTCCATCATTTTCTGCATTTTATTTCACTTTTTTTAACCAAACTCAGCTTGACATTTTTAATGATAGCTTTAAAAACTTTGGGATCACCACTAGAGTAAAGACTGAAGTAAAGTTCTGTGGGTTTGGACAATGTTTGACTGCACAGCATGAGTTTTCCTCATGTGGTTCACTAATGGACCACTGCTTGCTAAGAGGGTAATCGCTTGTTTGTGCAAGCAGCTGATTATGACCCTTAGTTATATGTCATTGTAGGGCCCACAGCAATTTTGGCAGGCGCAAGAAGAAAGTACGTTTTTATTTGTATTCTGTTGTCAAAAATACAAAAATAGTTATTTTTACATAAATTGTTTTTAATATCCATAAAAAATGGAAGACCAGTTTGAGTTATATTTACAAAAAGTTTTCATTGTCTTATTCTTGTAGAATGCAAACTTCCTTTCTGTGGACAGTGGGTGCCCAGCCAAGCAACAAGAATCTTAATTCAATTGTAATTCACACATTTGTCTTTTCAGTCAATGCCAAAACACTAATTCCACTGACAATTTAAAGACGCATTCTATTTTGAAAGGCATTCAGAAACACGGAGGAAGTAGGGCACGAATTGAACAAATGCTCTAAGTCCTCAACCTCCTCCCTGCACATTGCATACTCTCTTCCATTTTTTTAGTTTGTGGGGAGAAGGTCAGGGTGGATGGGCTGATCAGCAAAACATTGGATTGCAACAATGGAGAGTGCTGATTATTTCATGTTTCTAATCAATATCATTGTCTCTTTTAAATATTGCTGGTCCACATACTCATCTGTTTGTTTCCCTTCCAAAACTGTCAGCATGTATTTACTTCATGATTGTTTTATAACCTTAACTGCTACGATTATTTTTACTATAACACCAACAACATCACCCCATCTGTGCTCTAAACCTGACAAAGTTGCCTATATGCATTAGCTTAATTTAACAGAGGGAGAAAAATGTTTATACTACATTTTGCTCCCTCGGCTCATCGGATGGGGGCAAATTATCTGTATGGTCGCACAGACTGAAGGACTAATCAATGAGTAAGAGGTTTACTAATTGACTACTTGTTTTGGAAGCCAAAATGGCCACTTATCTGGTCCCAGCTTCTTATATGTAATGACTTTCTGCGGGGGTTTTTTTTCTCGTCTCTTTCTTCATATGACAGTAAGCTTATCAGCAGATAATGATAATGAATAGAATCATAAGTTTACCTAAAAGCCTTAAAAACTATAAAATGTGAAAAAAATACACCCTCATACATTTGAATAGCTTCAGGTGACGTTTGGCTTGTCACTAACAGGTCTGAGGTCTATGTGGTGTCTTGCCATTTGCCCATTGAAGAGATTAGTTTTTAGCGAGAGTGCACGTGTGTGTGTGTGTGTGCGTGAATATGTGTGTTCATGCATGCATGTCTGTGTGCAAGTGTGAAGTGGTTGCAAGTGGAAAGCTTGCAAGTGTGAATGAGCGGTGAGTCACATTTGTCTGCGTGTGTTTGAGTAAGTGACTTGCTTGTGACAAGTGACTGTGTGCTTGCCTGTGTTTGCTCTTTGCTATGGCTACCGTTCTGCTTTTGTGTGCGTGGCGTTGTGCGCTCGTGCCTTGTCTGTTTCTGTGTTTGTGTGATTTTCTGTGTACATGTGTCCAGTTGGTGTGGCAGCTGTGTGATGGCAGCCTCTCAGTACGCTCCACTGCCTCCTCAGATGACCTCTGAGGTGTCCCCTCACACCTGCACACAAAAAAGCATGCATGAAAGGTCACACTTGTAGCAAACTTCTCTTCTCTTCTCTTCTCTTCTCTTCTCTTGTACAGAGATAGTTAAGGGTATATTGCTTATGGTAATTTAAATCATTTTAGTTATTTTGTATTCTGTCACTGTTTATGCACCAGGGTTGCACGGTGGGCAGTGGTTGGCATTGTCGCCTCACAGCTAGAAGGTCCCCCGTTTGCATCCCCTCTTAGGATGCCTGGGATCTTTCTG